TTTTTAATTTGAATATCTTTATAATTTAGTGAAATTTACAACCCATAATCTCTATGTTGAAAGTCAATTAAATAGTCCCTCTATTTTAATATGGTCTAATAGCACTTTTGTAAAATGCTAAATTATTTATAGTGAGGGTTACTAACGTCCTTTCTTGCTCGCTTAGTTTGTTTGTAAGACAACATAGAGAACCGAAGCTAAAGGCATATGAAGAAGGTGAAGCGACGAGGTAAGTAATGTTAAATTATGTATGTTTGCTTTCTTAGTTTAATGATTTTATAATTAAATTAGTAAACATCCCATTTTGTTTTCAACTCAAAACTTTTTATAGGAATAATTAATTCAACCAATGCAAATAATATTTAACCTTAACATTGTTGCATGGTTGGTAATAGTGAGCAATTTTGGTAGCCCAAATTAATGTAGAGCTAACGCATTTGAATTTGCCCTTTCCATCACTAATCAAGCTCAAAATATGATGAAGGATTTTGTTAATATTGAATAGAGGTTGTTAATAAATATTCTTAGCTCATGGATCTATCATTTGAAGAGAAGAGATCTAGGCCAAAGTTTTTTTAGTGTTAAGATAATGATTGTGCCTATAATTGTCAAAAAAAAAAAAAAAAAAAAATGTGCTATATTGTCAAAAAAAAAAAAAAAAAAAACAGTCTCTTTTGCTTGGTGTAGGTGAAAATCTCTAAATCCCCAACAGCCCTGGAAAAAGTACACCAACTTTGCTCAAAAAAAAAAAAAAAAAAAAACAGTCTCTTTTGCTTGGTGTAGGTGAAATCTCTAAATCCCAACAGTGGAAAAAGTACACAACTTTGCTCTTGCATATGTTTCTAAAAGAATGATCAAGCAAAGTCTCCTTTACTTGTTGTAGGTGAAATATGGGAGGGCAGAGTGTGTTTTAAAGACAAAACATATGGAGGAAAAAATTATGAGAGACAACAAATTGAAAAATGGAAAAGATAAGAAAAAAACATAAGGCAAAGTCTCATCTTGTTTAAAATTAATTTTCTAACACTGCTTACATCCTAAGTGAATTTAATAAGGAAATCTTGTTTTTCTTGACCTTTATCTTTCGATACTACTCCTAACATTTTTCATATCTGACACTGAGAGAGTGGGAATAATGTACCATAATTTCTTTTGTGCTTTTCTAAACTTCATGTTCTATCATTTGGAAGAAATAAAAGTTCTAAACCTTCCATTACTCTTCCTTCACATGTTGGGTCCTAACCATTCCCAAGCTGTATCTGTTCTCTCATTGTCTCTCTCTTATCCATAGTTCATTAATCACCCAGTGTCTAGCCATTATGTGAAGCTCTCATTCTCCAATAGCTCTTGTTTATGCTAGCCCACTTGCAAGCCCAAGTAAGTAGCCCAAGGTTAGATACTAATCCTATGTAAGAATGATAACAAAATCTAGTAAAAAGTGTCACTTAGGCCTAAAAGCCTAAACTTACAAATATTGTACAAAATGTATATTCCACAAGAATCGTAGATATTATATAATATAAGTGACATATGACGGTAAATATTATATAATTTTCACTTTTCTTAGAGTGCACTCCTCAAACTCTAATAAATAGGGGGTGATACTATCGTAAATGATACGACTTCCAAGATATGCAAACTTAAATGCATTAGCATTTACACAATCTTTCTCTTTTTTTTTTCTCTCTTTTCTCCCTCTCTCTCCTTTTTTTTTTCTAACCCCCAATTTCTCTATGTTCTCACCTAGTTCTTTTCCCCCTACTGTCTATCTCTCAATCTCTGCCTCCTTTCTTTTGGATCAGTGCCCCAAGGGTCATTGTTCCGCACTTCATATAACATTCTTTTCTATAAACTAAAGGCATTCTCATATACACATACCCAATGGTCTTAATCCATTTTAGATCGAACAACTTCTTTTGGCATGCAAGATGGGACTCACTTAGAGTCTTATTAAAATATCAGGATTACACCCAAACTAATCGATATACTAGTTGTGAAGGATAAAAGACAAGGTGGTTGCGCCCGACACCTTGATCACTCAAACATATAATGTCTTGAAGAACCAGGCCGAGACTCTCCGTCTAAGAAAAGTGAACCAGTGAATTTGTCAAGGGTGAAATTAGGGGCTTAGATTAGGCACTTGACTCTTCACAATGTAACTAGCTAATCTTAAGTTGACACTATCATCAACCAATCTGGCTTCTATTCATTGACAAATATATATTGAGAAGATTACTTTTGTGCTTCAACCAATCATGTTGGATGATGCAAACACATAACAAGATACTCATCATTATTTGAAGCAATTGTTTAAAGTAGTTCATCAGACGTCCGACATCATAAGCGATTGAGCCTAGACGGTGGATGACTTGCTACCTAGATTCCTTCCACAGTTGCATCTCAAACTTGATTTAGCCTATAGTATAGCAAGGTCAACATCTTATTAAGATCGCTCACTACAGTCAGTCAGTTCATTACTAGACCTTTTAACATAATCTTAGATCCAATTGTTCCCTAACATACTGTCTGGCCTCTAGAGACATCTACACCGCCTTCAATTTTTTATCAACAATCTAGTAATGATGTCTTCGCTTATGACATGGCCAGGAACATGTTACCTCTAGGAACGACCGAACCAGCATGAATAGCCAACAATGACTATTACTGTAACTCTTTGATCAATCTTTAGCAAAGATGGGTATGGAAGTCCAGCCGATTTCATGACCTATTTATATATGTCCATACCCAGACTAGGTATATCAGTTATATCTTTTTCCTTCGGAATATGAAATTCCAGAGTTTAATCTTTTCTGAAGTGGGGATAATTCTTCCACATTAGATCCTATCTCTATACTTGTCACTCAGTATAGAGAATGTGGAGGGAATGAATGTTGGAAACTAAGGCTCTTTATTAGCTCTTTGGCCAAGTCGACCTTAACTTGGTATTCTAATTGAAGCCTAACTCCATTCAAAAGTGGCAGTAAATGGAGGAACAATTCCATGCTGATTTTTATTGGCTGCATCCCTATATCACCATAGTTGACATTAGAAAGGTAACACTGAACACAGGTGAATCGGCCATTAAGTACGTGCAACATTTCATAAAGTATAAAATGCTCTGCACCACTCAAATCATTGAGCTGAGTTTGTGGGATTGGTATAACATGACCTTAATTGGACAATCTATGAACATTTTAAAAGCCATAGATTCAAAAACTTGCAAGATGGATCGATTGAGTGACCGCGTAAAAGCAAATCCTCAAGGAAAAAGAGCAACAGAAAAATTCATCTAAAAGGACCTATTACCATGATCCATTGACTCTCACATGTATTAAGGTCGAGGAGGATTCCAACCTAGAAGCTAAGTTTATCAATTCGGTTGAATTAATACTAGGAGATAAGTACGAGTGTCAACTTTGTTTAAAGCTTAAGCAAAAGAAGCAAAAGACCAATTATAATATTTTGCGCAAAAGAGATTAGATCCACCCAATATGCTCTTCCACCCACACTTCATCAAATGATTTTCACTTGGAGAAGGGATTTAGTGGTGGAGATTGTCCATGCTGACCCATGGCCATTTGATATAGAAGTGTAAATTTGGAAAGGTAGATTTACTAATCAAATATGCAAATTTGGAAAGTCAGAAAAAATAGATTTTCTAACCAAATCATGCAAAATTTGTGTAAATTTGGAAAGGTAGATTTACTAATCAAATATGCAAATTTGGAAAGTCAGAAAAAATAGATTTTCTAACCAAATCATGCAAAATTTGAATAGTTAGGGAAAAGTAGATGTACTAACTAAATTATGCAAAATTTGGAAAGTAAGAAAAGTAGGTTTACTGATCAAATAAGCAAATTTGAAAGCCCAGGAAAACGATGTACCAAATTAAATCAAAAATAAATAATTTGGGAAGTAAGTAAAACAAAAGGCCAAATCATGCCTCTTTGGGAAGTAACAAAGGTAAGAGACCAAATTATGAGAATTCAAGAAAGAGAAGCAAATGATTGAATGCTTCAACATGCTTTGTATGTAGTAAAAGCAAAAAGATGCCCTAAACAAGCATTTTGTTGGATTAGATTGGACTACTTTGACTATAGTGTTTCCGTGTGATTTTCTGCTAGTAGCTATCGCCTTTTAATATATTGCCACAACATTTTTGGCAACATGCCCCAATTAGGAAGATTTTTTGCAACATGCCCCAATTAGGAAGATTTTTTTTTTCTTTTAAAGGAGTGGATGAACTTTAGCTTAATTGTAATAACGAAAGTTAAGGAGACTACTTCTGATCTTGCCATATAAACTTCCCCACATATAGAAAAGTTAAACTACTTCTGATCTTGCCATATAAACCTCCCCAATATAGAAAAGGGATTGTCTTGATATTCTCTCTTCAATCAAATCTATTTTTGTTACGATGATGGTGCAATACAATCTTTTGACATATGTAAAAGTCAGTGAATTCTTTGCCATTCTCATCTTATTTATTTATTTTTCCATGTTTCATTCAAGCAAAATTTAAATCAAAAATTAAATGGAAGGAAAATAATGAAAAACTTGTAATTTTATTAGTACGACCAAATGCCAACAATCATGGCTACATAAAGTTGAGAAGATAGAACATGACCATCAGTTATAGATTAAGAAATAAAAAGAAGACTTGACAACCTTTTTTTAGACTTAGACTTAGATTCAGACTTTTGTTTTGGACTTCAACTCAGACTCAGACTTTTTGTTAAACTTAAACTTAGACTCAGAGTTTTATTTTAGACTTAGACTCAGACTCTGAAGAAAACTTGAAAAGGGTATGTCAGCAACACCAATTCCTTCTTCTATGGAGGGTATATCAGTAAAGCCAACTCGGTTAAGCTCCATAACATCTCTTACGAGTTCTTCCAACTCCAATTTCCTGTGGAGGTTGTTCATACTCTAAAGGGAGGCTGATCTTATATTTCTCAGGCAGGAAAGTATTGAATCCTAAAATTAGGTCATCATGCCCTTTAAATAACTTCTTCACCCTTGCTATGACACCAATAATGCAGGAAAGTATTGAATCCTAAAATTAGGTCATCATGCCCTTTAAATAACTTCTTCACCCTTGCTATGACACCAATAATGTCAATTCTACAATAGATAGAAGGTAGGACATGAATTAAATCAATTGCTAACAACCTCTAAAGAAAAATGAATTATTTTAGAATATTATTACATAGCATATCATCTGATTAAACCTGTCAGTTCTGAAATCTTTCATGATCTCAAGAAATTCATCATATTTTTCCCTTTTATCTTGAAATGTCTCCTTCACGGTTATGACATATGTCAAGGAATCAAGTATTGTCAGTTTTTGTCCACTTTTGCCTCTGCCTCCACCACCACTGAATGTTCTTCCTCCCATCTTCTATGGTTGCCCAGAACTTCAATGCACATACATGATAAGTAAATTAATAAATTATAATATTCAAAACACACTTGGTAGATCAATCCCAACATTCAACTAAAATTTCATTTTAAACTACATTAACCTTATAAACACAATTAATATTATGTATTCATAGAAGAACAATTACTAATTATAGCTCCTCTCGCATGCATAAATAAAGTCAAAATTCTAAACAAAATTTAAATTACTAATTATAGCTCCTCTCGCATGCATAAATAAAGTCAAAATTCTAAACAAAATTTAGAAGGAAAATCTAGTAAAAAAAAACCCGATCTTTTGCAAATAAAAAAGCTCAAAAGCTTGAGTAATGCACTAAACACTAAATCAACAGAAAGTTTCTAAACAAAATTATTAATTCCATGCTTAATCCGAGTTAATATAATTTCCCTCGACAATCAAACGCTAAAAGGAGAAATAAAAAATTTACGTAGAATAAAATAATAAAAATCAAATATTAAAAATAAAAAAATAATTGAAAGAGAGATAGAGATAATAAAAATAGAAAAGAACTTACATTTCTCCAATTAAACCAGGAAAAAGAACCTGCAACATAAAGAACTAAAAATTTAAAGACGAACTAAATATAATTGAAAACAAAAGAAGCAGATCATTTCTCAAAGAAGAAAAATCTGGCAACGTTCAACCAAAAGGCAAACACATAATCCATATACTTGAATAGAAAGCAATATCTAAAATCATATTCAAAGAGAAATTTAAACACAGAGAGACATAAAAATATAAGAGATTGTGTACTTATTTGTATTAGCAAAAAGATTTGAAACTAAAATGCAAGCGTAAAGATGAAGAAGAAAGAAGAAAGTTAAGAATGGAGATGTTGTTTTAAGGATTATTATGTAAATTTAACTAACCTTTCGAGAGAATACAATAACAAGAGCAGTGCTTTTGTCATTTTATAATAGTAGCTGTTAAGAACATACTTTGCATTCTATGCTTGTTGTACATTCTCATAATTTAATATTTTTAATAATAAACTTAAAATTAAAATATGAGGATTCCTAATTGAATTTGAATATTAATCCTTAGTAATTTTTTGTCTTTTTTTTATTAAATTTTGATATTGAAATATGATATTTTTATTTTTAATATTAGATACAAATAATAATCATCATCACAATAATTAAGTTTATGTATTAGTCATTTAATTGATAATTTTATTTTAATATTCGGACTATAGGTTAAAAAATTAATTTTTTTAATGTCAATTGTAAAAATATTAATTCATAATATTTCTAATTGAGCTAATAAGTTCAAATATTAGTTCTCAAATAATTTCATTAGTTATGAGATAGGTCTTTCCTAACTTAAAAGAATTTTGAGTGGGAAAAAAAGTGGATACAAATCTTAGGTTGAAACCATAACTTGTACATACCCGATATAAAAATTAAAAAAAGAATCAAAATCCATATAATATTTTAATAAATTAATTATAGAATTTTATAGAATCCAACATTCAAATATTTAGTTTTCTACTTAGTTTCCAATTTTACTCCTAAAAATGAGACATCATATCTAAAATTGCCAATGGTACTTTTTTTTTATACAATTGCAATTATAACATAATTAACAAGCCAATGATATTCTAACCTACCTGCCATAGCAAAGATCTTTTATATGCTTTTATCCTTACCCTCATCTCCTTTAATTTGTAACCTTATTAAAGAATATTAAATTATTTATGGAAGTAATAGAGAAACATTGCTACCAAATATAGAAAATCAAATGTTGATTAAAGTAATAAATAAATGTTGTACAAATATAGAAAAATGAAGATGTAGTTGCCAACTTTGAAAGATATGATTGGATATCAATCTATCATATTTAAATTTCTAATTAAATTTGAATATTAATATCTAGTAATATTTGCCTTTTTTTATTAAATTTTGATATTAAAATGTGATTTTTTTATTTTTAATACTCCATCAATTCAATTTTGTTTGCTTTTTATTTCTTTGTTGATGTCCCAAAATTTTTACAGGGTTTTGAAATTTATATATTTAAACAATTAATTTTTTCATAATAACCTTTATGATTGTTCATTAAATGAAAGATTTTTATTAATATCTTAATGAGTTAAGGTGGGAAAGAGACACTAATTTTTGTTGACTAAATTTTAATATGTGTATTTTGTCAAACTATGCAAACAAAATGGGATGGAGTGAGTATTTATACAAACATTAGTTATCATCATAACAATTAAGTTTATGTATTAGTCTTTTAATGTTATAATTTATTTGTAATATCGGAATCATTAGTTCAAATGTTAGTTCTTTTAATGTCAATTATAAATTAATTCTTAAGATTTCTAATTGAATTGGTACGTTAAAATATAAGTTCTTTAATAATGTCATTTAGTTATGAGACAAGCCTTTTCTAACTCAAAAAAAAATCTTTGAATGAAAAAAAGATGCTTCAATCTTATATTCAAACAATATCTTGCATGAACCTAATAAAAAAAATTTTTAAAAATCAAATCCATATAATATTTTATATATAATCATAGAATTTCATAAAATATAGCATTTATATTTTTAGTTATCTACTTGTATCCAATTTTCTACTAAAAATGAGACCTTTTAAGTCTAAAATGGCTAAGGGCACTTTTCTTTGTACATAATTGAAATTATAACATAAACTAACAAGTCAATGGAGTGCTAACCTAATAGTCATGGCAAAGATCCTTTATATTAGGTCTGATCCTCGCCCTTAGGGTTGTGTATGGGATTACGGGAATCCAGACTCATTCTTGAAAATCGTCCTGAAATTTTTGTCCTGAAAAATACGATATTAATTTAATAGTCTCTTCCCGAATCCCATCTTGAAAGTAATTAGGGAACAAGACGGATTCTTGGATTAAAACTAACATGTATGAATCCAAGTTTTATTTCATCTCATCTCGTCCAAAAAATCGGGTTTTTCCCGTCTCATTTTTCTTTAAAATTTTAGGTGTCTCTTTTCTTTTATGAATTTCAAATTATTTCATTTTTTAGTTTTTCTTAGGACAACAATTATTTGTTAAAGCTGATAATAATTTGAAAAAAATAATATTCATTTTCTAAATATAAAATGAATTAATTAATAGTTTATTTCATTTCTATCTCGTCACCAAAAAATCGGGTTTTTTCGCCGTCTCATTTTTCTTTAAAATTTAGTGTCTCTTTTCGTTTTATTGGAATTTCAAATTTATATTATCACTTTTCTAGTTTCTTAGGACAACAAGTTATTGCTTAAAGCTGAATACAATAATTTGACAAAAAATAATATTCATTTTCTAAAATATAACATGAATTAATTAATTAAACATTTATTTTTCCATTTTAGAGTTTTTCTTAGGACAACAATTATTTGTTAAAGCTGATAATAATTTGAAAAAAATAATATTCATTTTCTAAATATAAAATGAATTAATTAATTAAACATATTTTTCATTTTAGATTTTTTCTCTATTATTCTACTATATGTGTTATGTAAATCATTCTGAATAAGTTTTTTCTCTTCAACAGAAAAACTAAAAAGATTAAGCATACAAAAGAAAATAGTAATTTTAATTAATTTGATTACTAGATTATTGCTTATGCTAAATGCTATCGTTATTTGTTTTTTAGATTAAATTAAGTATTGATTTATATAAGTTTATAACAAAATAACGGTGAGTTAAAATTCAAAAACTAAATTTAAAGTTAAATTGTATTTATTTTTTGAATTATTTTATTTTATTATATCTAATGCTCTTATTAACTAGAAAGTAACTAGTAACAAGTCTTCTATTACGACATTAGTAGTGGATCATCAATGATTGAATTAATTATTTGATTTTTTTTTTTAAAGTCAAATTTACTTTGATGAATTTTGTTTGATTGCAATTGATGAGTATAATAATTTTATATTTTTTTGGTGAAAAAACTAGTTTAGTAAGACTATAGAGAATCCTGATTGCTTCCTAACCCAATCCATTTCATCTCATCCATATAACTGAATTATGGTCCACTCCATCCCATTTTGATAGAACGGGACAACATATCTATTGAGATGAGACTGAGACTCCCTTTTCTATGTCATGATATTTTGGGATAAGACTGAATATTATGTAATTTTCGTCCCCATATCCCATCTATGCACACCCCTACTCACCCTAACCCCTTTTAATTAATAATTGAATTTGACTATTAAATTCAAATACTAGATGCAAATAATAGTCATCATCATAATAATTAAGTTTAGGTATTAGCGGTTTAATTTATACTTTTTTAATACGAGGATTATAGGTTAAAATATTAATTCATTTAACAAGATCAATTATCAAATACTAATTCTAAATATTTCTAATTAAGTTGGTAAGTTCACCTATTAGTTCTCTAATACTGCCACTAATTATGAGGTAGGTTTTTCCTAATTTAAAAGAATCTTTGAATGGAAAAAAATAGTTATAAATCTTATGTTTAAACCATAACTTGCAAGTATCCAATATAAAAATTTAAAAAAAAAAATCAAAATCCATATAATATTTTGATATATAGTTTCATCAAATCCAACATTCATATTTGTAGTTTTCTACTTATATCCAACTTCACTACTAAAAATGAGACCTTCTATGTATGGAAGGCCAATGATACTTTTTTGTATAGAAATGTAATTATATCATAAACTAACAGGGCAATGGAGTTGTAACACAAACTATAGAAAGGCAATGAGGTTATAACATAACTAGAAAGTCAATTTATTTATCGGAAAGTATTAAATGTTGCAATCAAATATAGAAAAGTGAAATTGTACTTGGCAACTTTAAAAGAAATAACCAAACAGCTTATATTTTTTCTAATTTAAATATTAATAAGAATTAGTATTAAATTCAATTAGGAATTCTAAATATGGTGTTAATTTCTTTTAAAGTTGTCAAGTATAACTTCACTTTTCTATATTTGGTTGCAACATTTAATACTTTCCAATAAATACATTGATTTTCTAGTTTATGTTATAACTTCATTGCCTTTCTAGTTTATGTTAAAACTTCATTACCTTGTTAGTTTACGTTATAATTACGTTTATATATTTCAATTTACCTTGTTAGTCTTTACAGCTTAAGAATTACGTTCTATATATATAATAATTATATACTATTATAATATCATATTAATTATAGTATAATATATAATGGCTATTGGCCTTTTCAGACCATAGCAAGGTCTTCATATATAATGCCATTGGCCTTTTCAGACATAGAAGGTCTCATTTTTGGTAGTAAAGTCAGTTATGAGTAGAAAACTACAAATATGAATGTGAATTATATGAAATTCAATAATTATATATAAAAATGTTATATGGATTTTGATTTTTTTTAGAACTATTTTAAAAATAAGATTTAGAACTATTTTTTCCATTCAGAGATTCTTTTAAGTTAGGAAAAACCTACCTCATAATTAGTGCCGTTATTAGAGAACTAATATTTGAACTTACCAACTAAATCAACCTATTAAGAATTATTCCTTCCGTTCTTTTTATATAGGCACAACTAATTTTTCATCAAGAT